ATAGCTGTATCTCAAGAAAATTACTATATCTCAAAACAAATTACCTAAATGTTTTCTGAATAAAAGTTTTCCTCCTCATGTTATGTTTGACTACTCGTAGCTGAGCTGGAGTGGGAGGGCGAGCCAGTCTTAAGTATCGAGCTCTTCTCCGAGATGCCAGAATCTGCTAAAATAAGTTTGTTAAACCATATTTAGTATACGTAAACATGTATTTTAGTATGTATCAATATGCATTTAAATGGCAGTTCCACTTTAAATAAGAGAAATACATACATATTTTCATAAATAAAATAGAAAACTCCATGTAAAATAACCACAAGAGCTCAGTTTAGTGGTTAATGTTCTCAAAACACAAGTCAATATTTTTCAAACTTTTCCAAACACAACTCCATATTTTTTTTTTAAATTCTTTATTTAAATTAATAGACAAGTACAAGATGCCTATTATGCCACAACAGCATAGACAAGCGCAAACATAACAAACATAATGTAACATAGGCATTGCATTTGAGAAATAAGCACAGTTTTAAGAAGTAATAATAATCAAGAAAACAAAAAGTAATATCTGTAGCTGGAACATTTGAAGAAAAGTAGCATAAACCAGAAAGACACAAGACACATATGAGAACCACTGGGGCACGACTAGCCGTATAGATACAGTACAGTGTTGAAAAAGGACTATAACATTATCGAAAAGAATGAACATGTGCATGAGAAGTCAAGCAAATTCGTACTAGAAATAAGTGTGGGGTTTGCAGAATACGGGGGAGTATGAGTTACAGGAGTGCTGCCTGTGCGTATATGCATATGCCTAGCCTATGCCCAAGTCTGGAAAACACCTGGAGTAGTTGTTTAGGGTATGGCAAGTGACGTTAGACTGGCCATGATGTAGGGCATCCCTCCAGTCCAAGTCCTTCCCAATAAAGGAGAAACAGTAGGCCTCTGTGATATAATACCGCTGATTGCGGTCAACCCTCTGTCCTTGGGGCAGATGCACTGGGCTCTTGACCCCATTGACCTTTGGTCCAGGTGGGCTAGGGACAGAAGAAATTTGTGCTTGAGAATGGTTAATGCCAAAGGTAGGCCCACTCACCACCAGCCCCTCACACCTCCAATCTCCCTCACAAGGCTGAGGCAAAGTGGCATGCCTCCAAGGTGGCCCAGAAATGGATGAATAAATAATCCAGTCACTTAAGAAATAGCTCAATGTAGTCAGGGCACTTCTTCCAATGCTGTGCAGGCTGTTTTCTACGAGGGAGGAGTGCAGTCGCCATCTTGAGTAAGCAGCGTTCAGAGCTGGAGCAGGTACAGTATCCAAAAGTCATGGTAGTGCATGTGGCGGTTAGTGGGGAATGGAATAACCCCCGCCTGTCCAGAGGGGTGGGGGCAGGGCTGTTAGATACTCTTGCGCTCGGACAGCATCACACTGAGCTGTAGCGTGGCCACCAGGCCCCGCCAGAAACAAACAGCAGGCCGCAGTAAGCCTCAGGCTCTGGTAAGTGCTCGATAAAGCTGAGGAGGTCAGTTCAAGTGGCGCTCGGACTCTATCCACACCACCTGAAGCTTTTGCAGTGTCATTTAGTGCAGGAGTTAATTAATTATAAGCTACATTCACGGACCAGATGGAGGAGCTCCCCCAGTCTGTGTCCTGCTTGCTCAGCAGTTAGGCCCTGCCCCCAACTCTCCATATTGGCCATGGGGCCAAGCTGCCAAGGGAGATCCCAGGCATTTGTGTACAGAGATTCTATTTAATCTTCTTCACTGACCAGTCTGCCCTGATACTTCTACTGTATCAGAGCATTGCACCAGCATAGCACAGCAATGCTCTGATACATTCTCCCAGACATTGGCCCCCCACTGAATTTTCTATACCCCACTGCTCCTATCCCTTCCCCACCCCTTATCTCCACATATGTGCATGTGGGAAAGAATCTGGACAATTATTATTATTTTTTCATTTTGACAATTCTGAAATTTGGAAACATCCAAATGTCAGTTGTTCGTTCTTACCTATATGCCTGTAGATAGCTCTCTAATTTGGTACTGTGATAGAATTTATCTTGATTCCAAGGCTCAAACTTATAGGTGTCATATAATGATATCCTATATTAAAATTGGCTAACTTGGACTCAGGAAATGCTTGATGCTTAAACAACACTTAAGACCATATATGTCTAAGTTCCAAGAGCAGAGAGCCCCCACCTAAGATGTCTCTGCTCTAATCATTTTCTTCTCTCTTACCTTGAAACTTATTTGTTATGTGTACATGATGCTCATCCCTATGTCTTATCTGTACTCTCTTCCTATTACTGTTCCAAGAGTATTTGCACGTAGTGATGTACCGAACGGTTCGCCAGCGAACGGTTCCTGGCGAACATAGCATGTTCGCGTTCGCCACGGCGGGCGAACATATGCGCGGTTCGACCCGCCCCCTATTCGTCATCATTGAGTAAACTTTGACCCTGTACCTCACAGTCAGCAGACACATTCCAGCCAATTAGCAGCACACCCTCCCTAGCAGACCCTCCCACCTCCTGGAAGGCATCCATTTTAGATTCATTCTCAAGCTGCATGCTTAGTAAGAGGAGGGAAAGTGTAGCTGCTGTTCATAAGATAGGGAAAAGCATAGCTAGGTTAGGGATAAGGGTATGCTTTTTTTTTATTTATTTTTTCTATGTAATGTAAATGCACTTAGTTGTCTGCCACTGCTGCCAGCTTCTGTGTCAGGCTCACAGTGCCCATTTCCCCAGTCAGTGCCACCAATTACATCTGGTGTCACAATAGCTTGGATTTAAAAACAAAAAACTTTTTTCACTGTTATAGATTTAATAGCAGTCAGTTGTCTGCCACTGCTGCCAGCTTCTGTGTCAGGCTCACAGTGCATACTGTGCCCATTGCCACCACTTAGATCTGGTGACACAAAGCTTGTATTTAAAAACAAAAACCACTTTTTTCACTGTTATAGATTGAATAGCAGTCAGTGTCCTTAAAACGGGTGTGTTACGCTAACAGTGGATACGGTGACCAGTGCAACCACTTAGATCTGGTGACACAAAGCTTTGATTTAAAAACAAAAAACTTTTTTCACTGTTATAGATTGAATAGCAGTCAGTGTCCTTAAAGCGGGTGTGTTACGCTAACAGTGGATACGGTGACCAGTGCCCACTTAGATCTGGTGACACAAAGCTTGGATTTAAAAACAAAACACTTTTTTCACTGTTATAGATTGAATAGCAGTCAGTGTCCTTAAAGCGGGTGTGTTACGCTAACAGTGGATACGGTGACCAGTGCCACCACTTAGATCTGGTGACACAAAGCTTTGATTTAAAAAAAAAAACACTTTTTTCACTGTTATAGATTGAATAGCAGTCAGTGTCCTTAAAGCGGGTGTGTTACGCTAACAGTGGATACGGTGACCAGTGCCACCACTTAGATCTGGTGACACAAAGCTTGTATTTAAAAACAAAAAACACTTTTTCACTGTTATAGATTGAATAGCAGTCAGTGTCCTTAAAGCGGGTGTGTTACGCTAACAGTGGATACGGTGACCAGTGCCACCACTTAGATCTGGTCACACAAAGCTTGGATTTAAAAACAAAAAACACTTTTTTCACTGTTATAGATTGAATAGCAGTCAGCGTCCTTAAAGCGGGTGTGTTACGCTAACAGTGGATACGGTGACCAGTGCCACCACTTAGATCTGGTGACGCAAAGCTTGTATTTAAAAAAAAAAAACACTTTTCACTGTTATATATTGAATAGCAGTCAGTGTCCTTAAAGCGGGTGTGTTACAGTACTCTGCCAGGTGATCTGGTGTCACAATAGCTTGGATTTAAAAACAAAAAACTTTTTTCACTGTTATAGATTGAATAGCAGTCAGTGTCCTTAAAGCGGGTGTGTTACGCTAACAGTGGATACGGTGACCAGTGCCACTAATTAGATCTGGTGTCACAATAGTTTGGATTTAAAAAAAAAATAATCTTTTTTCACTGTTATAGATTGAATAGCAGTCAGTGTCCTTAAAGCGGGTGTGTTACGCTAACAGTGGATACGGTGACCAGTGCCACCACTTAGATCTTGTGTCACAATAGCTTGGATTTAAAAACAAAAAACTTTTTTTCACTGTTATAGATTGAATAGCAGTCAGTGTCCTTAAAGCGGGTGTGTTACGCTAACAGTGGATACGGTGACCAGTGCCACCACTTAGATCTGGTGACACAAAGCTTGATTTAAAAACAAAAACCACTTTTTTCACTGTTATAGATTGAATGGCAGTCAGTGTCCTTAAAGCGGGTGTGTTACGCTAACAGTGGATACGGTGACCAGTGCCACCACTTAGATCTGGTGACACAAGGTTGTATTTAAAAACAAAAAACTTTTTTCACTGTTATAGATTGAATAGCAGTCAGTGTCCTTAAAGCGGGTGTGTTACGCTAACAGTGGATACGGTGACCAGTGCCACCACTTAGATCTGGTGACACAAAGCTTGGATTTAAAAACAAAAAACTTTTTTCACTGTTATAGATTGAATAGCAGTCAGTGTCCTTAAAGCGGGTGTGTTACGCTAACAGTGGATACGGTGACCAGTGCCACCACTTAGATCTGGTGACACAAAGCTTGTATTTAAAAACAAAAAACACTTTTTTCACTGTTATAGATTGAATAGCAGTCAGTGTCCTTAAAGCGGGTGTGTTACGCTAACAGTGGACACGGTGACCAGTGCCACCACTTAGATCTGGTCACACAAAGCTTTGATTTAAAAACAAAAAACACTTTTTTCACTGTTATAGATTGAATAGCAGTCAGTGTCCTTAAAGCGGGTGTGTTACGCTAACAGTGGATACGGTTTGGGGGGCGTGTCCAGCTTCCGGTGTGTGCAGTCGCATGGCTTAGGAGCTCCGCCGTCTACCCGACCTAAAGCAACTCTATACACAGCGCTAATCTACTAAAACACCCGAACCTAAACACTAAACTCGTCCAAGTGGGTGTAGGGTCGCATTATGCCTCCTACTAAACAGTTGAAGCTGTCGGACACAGCTAAGATGAAAAAATCTGAACGTCGCAAAGAAATCCAAGATGGCGATGAGACGCCTAACATATCGGATGGTCAGTCCGACTGTGAGTCGAGCTCTTCCAAGTACCCTGAAGCTCCAGTAACGGAACGCAGCTTACACAGGATGTTACAAGAGCTCAGGGCAACAATTACAGCCGATTTCCACCGAATTAACGGGGATTTAAGGAAAGAAATTTCTAATATTGGAGACAGAACCAGCAACTTGGAGAATAAAACAGATGAACTCTGTGTAGCCCACAATGAGGTAGTGGACAAAATTCAGAAGCTGTCTGAAGAAAACTCTTCACTCAAATCTAAACTTGCCGACATGGAAGACAGATCAAGAAGGCAAAATGTCCGGTTCCGTGGAATTCCGGATGATATATCTCAAGACGCCCTTCCAGCCCATATACTCTCAATCTGTAAGGCCTTAGTCCCGGGCCTACCTGACTCCGCTTGGGCCTACGACCGCATGCACAGGCTACCGAAACCCGCTCGCATATCTGCTGAGGTCCCAAAGGACGTTATTGTACGATTTCACTACTATGCGCATAAAGAATCTTTATTACAGGCAGCAAGAAAAGCACAACCACTTCCAGAACCCCACCAACGGGTTGTATTATTTGCTGACCTATCGGCGGCTACAATGGAGAAACGGAGAGAATTCATCACAGTTACGAAGACTCTTAGAAATAACAACGTAGTCTACAGATGGGGTTACCCCACCAAATTAATTATTTGGCGACAAGGCAGAAACTACACTGCTAAAGATTCGGCGGAAGGAATGAAGCTGATTACAACTTGGGGGCTATGGAACGGCTCACCTACCCATCTTGATACAACCGAACAGGCTTCCCCACGACGACTTCAAGAGGACTGGCAAATGGCGAAATCTCCAGCCAAGATCCCCTGAACTTTCACGTTGTGCATATATATATGAAGATCATGTTGGCATACACTTAAGTATCATAACCATTACTTTGTACGCAACACTGAATGTTTATATTTTTCTAGCTATACGCTGTCTATTAAAATATACTGATACAGGCAGAATATCTGCGCCCAAATGGTACATGCCCATTTCATCTTTCAGTTTCGGGCTGTCTGTTTATCAGGATAGACCTCCACTTAATCACCTAATTATTGTAACGTTCTTATGAGGCAAGTTCCCTTCACTTCTCACGTACCAGGGACATATCTTAAGGTCGAAAATGGTGAAATTGGTGTAAGCAGCGGTCACCGTTGTTGGGCGATTGATGTTCTCACAACTTGTTAAGGCTTTAATTTCACCAGTATAACTTGTACCCTATCAACACACACAAAAGGGAACTCCCCTAATCTCGGGTCTTCTCTAAGTGTGATCCATACCTAATGTTTCTATGTTTAATTTTATGTTTTTCTTTCTAACACATATACTTTTGCAATACTGTCTATGTATGTACTTTAATAAGAATCATTGAGGTAATGCGGACACCTAGCAAGTCTCAAGCCTGTCATTGTGCACAGCACGTTACTCCAGATTCAATTTTAGCTCAAAACTTTTACCAACCGCGTGTACAAGCGGCGAATTCCCAACTAAATTTCCTCCATGATTCTCACGCGTGCAAAGAATATGCGGAGACACTATGTTACATCACTATATGCCCAATATGGGGTGACTTACTATTCTAGATTTTTATATGTATGGTATTACTACAGTTAGTACTATGTGTAACGTTGTACAAATCTTTCATAGGTCGGGAGGAGCCTCAAAGTCCCTCCCTGAGTCACTTATGGGCCAAATTTTCTGTGCCTTTAAGTTGACCGAGTTTGATACCCCCAGAAGGGGTTCTGTTTGTATATACTTTAGTTTTTGTTGTATTTTACTTCCTTGCTCTTCCCTTATCCCCCCCCCCCGTTCTACGCCTAGACCTTACCAACCATGTTGCCTCCCAGGTAACCCCATCATCTATGAACGACAAGTTTTTTTGCACCGTTATGGTACATCTAGAGGGGAGCACCGACGATGCACCAGTAGCAGGGACGATTGGCTTTCTGTATAGAGGTACTCACTTACACCTACATGCTCCAGGACACTCATGGCTACTTTACCGCCTCGTCATCGAACAATAGACATGGCCTCCCATACACTAAAAATCCTTTCCATTAATGCCAAAGGCCTTAATAGCCCGTATAAAAGAAAACAATTGCTAAAAGAAATGCACAGGTCTGAGGCAGCTATTGTTTATGTCCAAGAAACCCACTTTGCTAAGAAAAACCCCCCTCAAATCCGCTCTCTAAAGTACCCTGTTGCATACTTCGCTCATTCCCAAACCAAAGCTAGAGGAGTGGCAATCTTCTTTCACGCTGACTGGGTATTTACACTACACAAACAATTCACAGATTTAGAAGGGAGGCTCCTGATACTTGTAGGAGAACTAAATGGCATATTGGTGACTGTGGCCTCCCTATACGCCCCTAACGAAGCGCAATATCCCTTTCTTAACAAAGCAATTAAAAAGATAACCGCCATCAAGAAAGGCCATATAATTATCTGTGGGGACTGTAACTGTACTCTTGATCCCTTGATGGATATCCAACGTACTCAGAATAAAACCCCTAGCAAACTTTCTATTTCCAACAGCAAATTATTTTCTCAACTCATACATGATCATGACTTGTATGACACATGGAGAAATCTTTTTCCAAAGGCACGAGACTACACATATTTTTCACCGGTACACCTTACTTACACGCGCATTGATTTGTGTCTGATTGATAAATCTACACTCTCTCATCTTTTAGACCAATCTATAGGGATCAGAACTTGGTCCGATCATGCCCCAATATTGATTACACTAGAAGTGCCATATCCAACTAAAGGCAGAGGAAAATGGCGCCTTAATGAATCCCTCCTTGATGAACCTACTTATAGACAACAAATTTCGACAACACTTAATACTTACTTTTTAATAAACTCCACGGATGATACCACGATAGAAACCCAATGGCTGGCTCACAAAGCGGTCGTTAAGGGAGAATTTATCAAAATAGGTTCCATAGCCAAAAAACAACTTCTCACCAATGATTACACGCTTAAGCAATCGCTCCGCAACCTAGAAAACTCCAATAAAAAAGCTCCCTCCAAGTTCTTATCCCGACAAATCGCCAAAATACAAGAGGATATCCGAAACCTTCATGCCCAAACTTACACTAAACAAGTACTTAAGACTCAACAAACATATTATACGAAAGGAAATAAGGCAGGCAAATTATTGGCCAATCAACTGAAATCCAGATATTTACAAACGAAAATCCCGTATATATATTCCAAAGATAAAATTAGACTATATAATCCCAATAGTATTGTCGACGAACTTTCCCGTTATTATGAGGACCTTTATAATCTTAACACCAACAACCAAACGCATGTACCAAAGTCAGAGGAAATTCTGCAATATCTCTCCCGAATCACACTCCCACAAACCACATCACTTCAAAACGGACTCCTCATTCACAGAAGAGGAAGTTGCACTAGCCATACGCTCCTTGCCCACACACAAAGCCCCTGGGCCTGATGGGCTTTCAAACTACTACTATATCAAATTGGCACAACATCTAACCCCACACCTCACCAACTTGTTAATTAAAATTAGACTGACAGGCAAATTTCCACAGGAGATGTTGGAAGCTTACATAATCACCTTGCCAAAGCCAAACAAACCTCCAACGCTATGTGGTAACTTAAGGCCAATTTCTTTACTTAATGCCGACGTCAAATTATATGCTAAACTGATTGCTAACAGACTTAAGCCCCTCTTAACCACCCTAGTTTCGGAAGAACAAGCTGGGTTTGTTCCTGGCAAGCAGGTAGGGGACAATACTAGATATTGCATGGACCTGATTGATTGGGCCAACAACCAAAAGCAGAGTGGCGTCGTAATGGCGTTAGACGCGGAGAAGGCTTTTGATCGCCTTAACTGGGAGTACATGGTCGCCACGTTAACAGCCTTTGGTTTCTCCAAAACCTTTATCACCGGTGTTATGGCCCTTTACTCTGCCCCCTCTGCTAAGGTGTTTAATTCTGGCTTCACCTCCAGGAACTTTCAAATTTCAAACGGTACTAGACAAGGGTGCCCCTTGTCACCATTAATCTTTATTTTATGTTTGGAACCGCTGATACAAAACATTAAACTAGATGCAAAACTGCCCGGTCTTTCCACTCCAGCTGGCGAGAAGAAGCTAGCTCTCTATGCCGATGATGTAGTCCTATTTCTCGCTAACCCAACAGAATCTATCCCACATCTCTTACATACTCTAACCACTTATGGTACTGTCTCCTATTATAAAAATAATATTAGTAAAACTCAGATCCTTCCCATACGACTTGATGAAAAGGTAGTGTCAGATCTAAAGAGCACTTATTCCTTTGAATGGAAACATACAGCTATTTCATATTTAGGAATCAAATTAACTAAATCCAAATCACTAGTTATAAAAGAGAATCACATCGCAGTCTTAGCCAAGATTTCCAAACAAATGGACTCTTGGAGCAATTTACACACGTCCTGGTTTGGTAGGATAAACTCTATCAAAATGATGATCTTACCCCACATACTCTATCTATTCAGAACTATACCCATAGCTTTACCAAACTCCCTTCTCAAGAGATTTCAAATGGCTATCAATGCCCATATTTGGAGGAAAAAACCTCCAAGAGTCGCCTTTCGATCTCTCTGGTGACCATTCAAAAGAGGCGGACTTTGTGTCCCGAACATTTTGTATTATTACAGGGCAACATTGCTGGCGCAAGGCCTTGATATTCTAACAGGCAAATCAAATCCCGTTTGGGTCAAACTGGAAACCTCCTGCGGAGGCATGCACTCTATCTCTGATTCCCTGTGGAAACAACCCTCAATTTCTAGCCCCTATACACTCCCAGCTTCACACTTTTTTATAAAATCATGGACCTCATGGAGTACCATATTGTGGTCCAAAGCAGAGGCACTTTATCTAGCACCTATATCAGCCTTATCTAACATATCCCCCAACCTTCAAACGCGTCACTGGTCCAATTTAGGTATAACGCATGTTCATAAACTACTTAATGAAGAAGGCATTCGCTCATTCCCTGATCTACAGAAAGATTATAACTTACCGCCCAAAGATATTTTCCTATACCTACGGTTCAAACATATCCTAATTAAGGAATCAATTAAATTTATTCATCCGCTTTCACTCAGTAGACTGGGATTTAAATGGTACAATGCAAAATTATCCCAATCCTCTTGCAAATCTCTTTCATTGTGTTACTCCGCGCAGGTTGATTTGAATGCATCCACTAAACTGCCCTATATGCTCAAATGGGAGGCAACATTGAGTATAGCTCCTACTTTTCCCGAATGGGAACAAGCCATTACCTACACAAAAAAGTCATCAAACTGTATTATACACTGGGAAGCTTATTTTAAAATGTTGATGAGGTGGTACTTGGTCCCAAGCAGGATTCACAAAATTTATCCGGAATCCTCTTCATTATGTTGGAGATGTCATGCTGATAAAGGATCTATAGAACATATATTTTGGTATTGTTACAAGCTACGAGTATTCTGGCAAGAAATCAAAAATGCAATTTACACATTATGTGATTTTACTATCCCATTGACTCCCGAAAATTACTTACTTCACATCATTCCAAATTTAAGCGATATGCCAGCTAAGGATGCGGTGCTCAATATGCTCCTAGCTGCTAAAATTAGCATAGCAGCACACTGGAAATCCACCGCCTGCCCTACAAAAATGGAAGTCCTCCGTAGAACAAACTCTACATACCAACATGAAAAGGAGTGGGCAAAAAAGGGTGATATGAGTGTATTTCTGGATAGATGGCAAAACTGGGAATCTTTTATGGATAAGACTATTACGACATGCTAG